CGACGGAGACGCCGCCCCTGAGCCACTGCCTCTTGAATGCGACCGTTTCGTTCCTCCGTTTATCGACGTGGACGACCCGAGCTCGATCACAAACTTGCCACCTTTGTGGGAGCTTATGTTCGACTCGGCCAGGACGATTCCAGCGCCGGAGGACCCATCGGGGATGAGTTCGAATCGGTAACCCAGCCCTTCGGTGGCTCCGCCCCGCTCCCGCCACGCCTCGAGCCGTCCCCACGGCTTCCAGATGCCGTTTCCGGGTCGGAGGATTAGCCAAGAACCAGGGTTCGAGCGGCTCACGCGGTCTGTTCCCGGGGAGGCTACGAAGGGTGTGACGATTGAAGCCATAGCCACCGGAGATCCCGAGAGGTCGTGAACTGTGATGGACCATCCTTTCCGTTCTTTTCCGGGGCGTTCTCTCTCGCTCCCGAACGAGTTTAGCCAGCTCCGGGAGACGCTCGTCTCCGGCGGCATCGATCTGAATCAATCGGAAACAGAGTTTTACCACTGAATTTGGAGTCACAGTGCTAAGAAGATGAAAATCTGAAATGGGTTTCTGCCTTTTTGGGGATTTAGCTTTATCGTCGATTTCATGACTGAATCAAATGAAAACAACATTCATCACAGAAATTTGAATTTTATAAACAAGAAGAAGACGAAATTCTGAAATGGATTTCTGGAAAATTTGAAGTTTGAAAATACTAAGAAGATGCTGGAATCTAAAATGGGTTAGTGAAGATTTGGCTTTATCGAAATCTGCTTTATTGAAAACATGATCCCGTTTCTCGCAAGTTTGTTGGAGGAAAAAGAGCAAAGTTTCAAGATAAATCCGGTAAAGCGAAATCCAGAATCCTGATTTCACGATTAATTATCTCTACCGTGCGATTAACCAGCACGTTTTCGAATTTTCCGGGGAAAAGAAAAATTTTGAAATTAAAAAAAAAACACAAAAAACAGGGGAAATCCTTCATCGGAAAACTGACCTGGACCTCTGAGTGCGGTCACCGGTGTGTCGGAAACTGAACTTGCAGGTGAAAACTGGCTGTCGAATATTCCCCTGAATCTGAAACACCTGAGGACTACACTCAGGCTCGCCGTCGAATTGGAACACGAACCGAGGATCAGGCTCCGCCTTCACATTCAGATGAAACTGAGCCACCGACGACGACGATTTCTCGGCGCCTTTTCCGATAGAGATCCAACCGTTGTGGAAGACACAAGCCTTGGACTGAGTTCCGGTGAGATCCAACGGCACGGAGACCTTGGCGAGGAGGGTGCCGGAGTGTACGCCGCACGCGCCGCCCGATCGGCCGGTGTAGATGGAAATCTTCAGGCAGGGCTTGGAGGCGAATATGGATCTAGAGAAGAAGCGGTCAAGATCGGACTTGCTCAGGTGGAAAGTCGCGGCAAGGGTTTGAATTTCCGGGAACTGGGCTGTATCCGGCGGAATGTACGGGACGGCAGCGGTTTGTGGCGGGAAGTTCTTGAGCTTAATCTTACAGAAACACGGCGACGTCGTCGGATGCACGACGGAGCTCGAAATCTTGGAGGCTAATGGTACTTTAAGGGCTAGGTTTCCTACTGTGAGCCTGATGAATGGGCACGGATCCATTTCCGCTTCTGGGTCACAGAGAGAGAGAGGGAGAGAGAGAGACTACGGTTTTAGGCACACTGACATTGAGGAGAAGCAATGGAGTTCTGTTAAGAAGAAGAAGAAGAGGAAAACGGTGGGCTTTAGAAAGCGGCGGAGAAGTAATCGATGAGACCACCAGTGAGAGCTGTTGTCTTCTTCTTCTTCATCTGCGTCCGTCTCTATGAGAGAGAGAGAGAGAGAGAGAGAGCTGTGGGGTTTTCACTTTCCTCTTCTATTTCACTTTATATTTCTGCAAATTGCGTAAAAGACCCCGCTGTATCAAAATATTGGGATTAACACCCCTTTTATTATTACTATTATTATTATAAACAATGCTTTTGACCCCCCATAATTTAATATGGCGCATATCAAAACAGTTGTTTAAATTCTTATTCTAAGTTTTTCTTCCGCATAAATATTTGGACAATATTATAACATTATTGAGATATTACACACCATTATATTGTGATTTTTATATTTATAGTCAAAAAATAGAATTGCACGTATAAACTTTAATATAATTTTTATGCAAATTTGATTTGGAAATGAAAAAATAAAAAAAAACTTCAGCGTTCTATAGAATTATTTTATATCAAATTCAATTTTTCTCTCTCATATCTTTGGACATTTTTAGTGGCTTCGCAATGTTCGCATATGCTTATCTACAGATTTTTTTTTTTTTTAAAAAAAAAAGATTAAACAAAAGAGGGTCGACTGATAATTATGAAAAAATATGTAGTTGTTTTGTAATTTATCTTTTGTTTTAAAAAATATTTAAGTGTTTCTTTATCGGAAAGTGTACGAACAAAACAGACTAGGGGCAAATTCGAAATTAAGAGGCAGTTGAGGGGCAGATAGAGAGATGTGGAGTACAGCTGGGAACAGCCTGGGAAATAAATGCCAGCTCGGACGGAGGGTGACGCCATTCTCTCTCAACCTGACTCTGACCAACCAAAGACGTTCCGGGCTCCACTTCTATTTGAAATTACGGAACTACCCTCGCTTGCTTACGTGTACCTCGCGACTCCTGTGACGGGGGAATCTCGCCGCCACTACGCGGAACTCACGTTTGTGTTTGTAATTGGTGTTATTATAGATTTGATTCAATTTATTATCTAATGTTTAATTTTAATAAAAAAATATAATCTTTTGAAATTCAGGATATGTATTTTTTGGGTTGCCTGGACACGATGATCGTTTGTCATTTTGATTTTCTTTGAATTGGTCAAGAATTGAATTATTATTTAAAAATACGAACCGCTTATCTAATCTAATTTTCTGGTTATGTATTGTATCTGATCAATTTTTCTTTATTTAAATAAAATTTCAAAACAATATTATTTTTACGTTCAACCAAAACAGCCTGTCAAAACAATACTATAATTATGTAATGTTTGGTGATATTTTAAATATTTAATTGAATTACAGTGAGAAAGTACGATACTATCTGTATTTTAGTTTATTTCATATTATAAATTAGGTTTGAAATAAAACAACAGTAAAATTTAGTGTTTTACATCTGAATAAACAGTAATTCTTTACCTTAAAATCAATTATATTTACACTATATAAATTATTAAGTTTGTTTATATCTAAAATAAATTATTAAATTTAATTTATTTGGTTTGATTTTGTTTTATTTGAAATGGTGACCCGAAAGTGTTTTTTATTTTCTCTATTTAATTTTAGAGAAGAATACAATCAAAACCCAAAACCCTCGTCTATGGTCATTTTTAAAATTTTAAAATAAAACCCCGGCCTAGTTAATATTATCTGTATATCCGATTATATAAAATCGATAATAATTGATGCCTATATATCTATCTATATATATATATATATATATTTATCTTATATATGTCAAAAAGTATAAAATAGTTATATTGTAAATTGTTATAATATACTTATCTTATATACGTCAAAAAGTATAAAATAGTTATATTGTAAAATACAATGTATAGAAAAGCCATATGTATAAACTAGTTATATTATAAGATCATTTTTTTACAAATGAGGGGACCGTCAAATGTAGTAATTATTACATATAAGTAAACTTTTTTACTGCATACGTGAAATTGTTAATAATTATTATTTTTACCAACCATAAATAATTATTATTTTAAATTAAATAAAGACACAAATAGGTCTGTGTTTGCGTCTGTAGCCGCACGTGGGTTGCTACGGTGGCGATTTTAACTGGACATTAACCGACTTTTGTCTCTTTTTCCCATGTGAAAAAATTCTCTTTTTTTATTTTTTTTTACATTTCAGAAATCATGTATGAATATTTAGAATAAATTTGTGTAGTTGCGCGTGGAGAGAAATTTGTTTTCTATCAAATAAAAAAAACAAATAATGCATGGTTCTATATAAAATAACGATTTTTTTAGCACTTTTGTTTTTTTTTTACAACAAAATCTTTCTCTATTTCAGTAAAAATTCAAATCATGAAATAACTTATATGCAAGTGCCAATGTGTTCCATGTAAAATAGAGGACAAAGTCAGTTTTTTGTTTAAAAAATTAATTTATGATTTTGAACTCAAAATATTCTCAATCCGACTATCGACTATAATATTCAATCATCATGGAATATAATGCAATTACAAAAATAAAATGTTTATTTCCTGTATTATTAACACTAAATTATGAACCCATAATTTGGTTCACTAATCAATAAAATTTTAAAATGATTTAACTCATATTTAATATACCCATAACAGAGTAGAATAATTTAATAAATATTTATTATAGATAGAACATTTGTAATTTATTATATTTTTTGAAAAAATTTTACATTTATAACCTGATGAAATAAGAAAATGAATATATAATTGGAAGAAAATATAGATTTTAAGATATTATTTTTAATAATAATGAATACAATATTATGTTAAATATTGTACATCATATTTATTTTTATTATATCTGTATTTTCCTTTTACATCATTTGTTAACTTTTTCTACAAATATATTATTTATTTTTATTATATAAGAAGAAGAATAAGATATATAACAATAAAATAATTCCGTTCTTTTTTATTTGTCTTTCTTTTTTATTTAATTTCTACAATTTTATATTTCTACATGGTATCAAAATGGCTCAAATTGCTCTATATCTTTTTTTTAATTTTCTTTTTTTTGAATTTTGGATATTTATATATCTAAATCGTTTAAAGAGAAGTAAAAACTCAAAATAAAACGAGGTGTTGTGCTAAAAAGAAATCAAACCTAAAAACTCTAAGATCAAGTGAGTTACTATGACAAAAAGAATTAAAGGTGAAACTTCAAAGTTGTGAAGTGATTTGAAAATGGATAATACTCTCTAAAAAAACTAAATTTGGTGTTTGTGGATTTTTCTAAAGTATAATGAAAATATCTATAGAATTTTATCTTATTATCTTTTCAAGATTGACTTTTGCATTATTTCAAAATCAACCTTGAGTGAAATATTGAAATAGAAAAATTAATATATGATTGAAGGAAAATATAGATTTTGAGATATTATTTTTTATAATAATGAACACAATATTATGTTAAATATTATGTATCATATCTATTTTCGTTATATCTATATTTTTTTATAATATTTGTTAATTTTTCAATAAATATGTGAGTTAGTTTCATTATAATGTAAAAAAAATATAGCAATAAAGTAATTATGTTCTTTTTTTTATTTATATTTCTTTTTTATTTAATTTTGGTAATTTTTTATTTCTATACAACCAAATAAAGTTATTTATTTATGATGCAAATAATTATTGAATGGAAATTCAAATTAATTTCGAAATTTGTATAATACTTATTATGTTCCAATAAATTCTAAGTTAGTTACCGAACAGATCTCCTAATCCGATAAAATGCAATATTGTTTCTTTAGAATTTGTTTTTAATCATTTTAATCCACTTTTTTACAGCATGTATATACAACAAATGCACAAACACCATGCGATTAAAAATGAAGAGGCCCACAATCTGTCTTTTTTTTTACACCAAAATTTTAATTTATGTTTGAATATCTTTTGAAATTAAATATAATAACAAAATTATTTTTTTTAAAAAAAGATGGTTATTTGGAAAACAAGCAAAGTAAAATGTGAAATAATTGCAAAGATTTTGAGGCCCCCTCACGTTGCTCATGCAAGCCTCTTTGTTTTTGTTCGCTTTTGAAAATGTCGTTTATTCCTTTGGCGGTCCAAAATGTTCAATTTCCTATAAATGGCGAGACAATAATTACACCAACGGAGAAAATTATCTAAATAAATCATTATGCGCGCACGAATAATTTAAAAAAAACATTATATTATGTATATACATATATTCTGCAATAACGAATATTTTTACAATCAAATAATTTTAAATCTGCTTTTCTAAAAAATATTTAATTATTTTTTGGTAAATAAAATTTTTAAAAATGATTTCATATAAAATTAATGAAAGTTAATGTTAATTAATTTTATGTGTGCCCAATAAAAATCAAACTAATTTTCTTTTATTTTTATAATAGTTGAGGGCATATAAAATTTTAGATTTTTTTTATATTTTAAATGATCAAATGAATTAAATAAAAATCTTATAATACATAATATTTATTTAATAAACTCTCCATAATTTGGAATTGCGGGCGAGTGGCGTATCATATACCTCTCTTGTCTAGTGTCATAAAAGGCAAAAATACAGCTAGCAACCACAACTTTGTTTTTAATTAAACTCGATTTATATTAATTAATAATCTGATTAAGATGAACTAAACAAATTATTATTATTTTCATCCAAAGAACTCAGACACAACGTGCAAGCATATCTCATCCGCCCGATCCCCAACTAATCCTTCTCCTTAATTTTATTTGTTGACCAACACCTGCAGATTTCCACATTTGACTATTCCGGCAAATTAAAATTATAAAAAAATAATATAATTGTTTCGCTTTTGTCTATTATTTTATTTGCTTTAAGCACGAATTTGTCCACGTATCTTCTCGAGTCAAAATGTTTTTTGGCGAAATATTGTACATTTTTTTTTAAAATTTGTTCATATAGCAGTGAAAAACATGCATAATTCATTGCCGGTTGATCTTAAATATCGTAAAAGAAAAAATAGTACTAATAGTGCTCTTTAGAAAATAGTTTTTAACCACATAATAAAAAAAAGTTGATTGAGATTTGTATTTTACTCATTCAAAAAAAATCTATTTCGATCTTTTTAAATGAAAAACATCGCATGCCCGAATCAAAACTTGAGCAATTATATACGATGTTAGATGTATTTGAATTGAAAAAACAGGTAATTCGAAATTTTTGTCACGTGGGAAGAGAATTAAAAAAAATAAATATTTTATTAAAAAGAGTAACGAAATTATGTAATGACGTCATGATATGTTTCACCGTTGCAAATCTTTCACATGTAATGTTTCAAGAGATATCACATGTCCAAATCAAAACCTTTTTCTCTTCCCTTTTGTGTTTTTGTTTTGAAAAATGGGAACTGTTGAAGAGGAAAATGACTTGTCATCGTGTTCTTGAAGTTTTTAATGAATATGTCCCTAATAATACAAATTTATATCCATTAATTGAGTTTCCAATGTTTTGAGAGGTAATAAAGTCATTTCGAAATTCGGAATTCGATTCTGTTAGTGGGGATGAGAGAAACAATTAATTCTGTAACTAAAGAATGATTTCGAATTAAACGGCTTCAACGGCTTCAATGAACTTCCTTATTATAAAAACAAAATAATATAAATTTATTAAAATACCTTATTCACATGTTTATTAACAGATTTTAGTAACATTTCGATGGTTATTTAGTTTTTTTATTTCATAACCCTAGGATTTAGTTTGAATGTTAGTCGGTTCATCTCATTTCAATTTTAGTTTTTAGTGTTGGCTGATTTGAAATGGGTTTGTTATATAAATACCAAATAAGGGCAAAAAATTTGATTTTCACATATAAATTTGTATATAAAAAAGATAATTCAGACGATATTTTTAATTATTATCAAAGAATATAATATTTTTTAAGAATTTTTTGAGTTACTTAGAGAAAACCTCTTATTATTTGAACAAATACCAATCTATCCCAACCTTTTCGAAAACGGTTCATTTAATCAACAGAAATATATGAAATTAGAACTGAATAGAATCCCATTAGATTGGATTTAGGTACGAACCGGCTAAATCTACCTGCCCCAATTTTTATTGGTAAACCGGACCGATTTGTTTCGTTTTCTATAACATAGCAAACGCGCCAAACAAATCGGAAAAACTTCACAAACACACACTTTTAGTCATATTTATTTCTACGATACACGAGACAAATCAGAGCCTTTTTTTTTTCTTTCAACGGATACGCAATTTCTTATACAAAAAGACTTTATTACCCTCAATATCAAAAGACTAAAATAACTCTAATTTAAACAAATTAAAAACATTTATTATTGAAAAAACTCTTCTTCCTTTTGTAATCATGTTCTTCATGTCCGTCATTATTAATTTATTACTGTATGAGCAAGCTAAAGATTCGTTTTTTTTTTTTGTTTTTTCGCAAGTTTGAAATTAAAATCAACTAATAAGATATAGTGTGAGTTAAACCCATTTTATTTTTGTGGATTGTTTAATGTTTTAGATTTGAAAATTTTGAAAAATAATGGTTGAATTTTTATAGCAAATTTGAGTTTTTCTTCGGCTATCGAAAAGCTATTAATATAATTTAGACCTATCTTTAAAATAGTTATAGGATTTTAATGAATTTCTAGCGATTGTTGTGTATAATAAAATAGTGATAGTAAAAATATAATCGTAATATAGTCTAACATAGTCGTAGTGTTCTAAGATATTCAATGATAAATATGTGTTATGTTTCTAACATGATTATTGATCTTATGGTATATTGTTACACATTTATTTCTATTTGCTAAAATGATGATGCTTCATTTGAAAATGAAAAAAAATTTATTGAAAATGAATATCGTATAAAATGTTATAGTGTTTTCTTGTTAAAACAAATTGAAAATAAAAAACGTATCAAATTAGAGAAAAACATAACAATAAAAAAGATAAAAAGTATACCTTTTTATCAGAAAAAATATAGATATTAGATAAAAAAAAATTATTGTATTTATCTTATTATCGCACAAAACAAGTTTTTTAGGACTTATATTATGATCATTTATTACTATATTACGATTCCACACCATAATACAACTATTTTGATATTTTAAAATATCCAAAATCATAAATTACGATAAAATTTGATCAAAGATCTGTTATTTTAAAATATAAAAATTAATATACCATGATTTTAGTTGGATTATTAATAAAAACTATAATACTAATCAAACAAAATAATTTACAATTATTAAATTAAATTATTGCATTATAAAAATAAAAATAAATAAAATAAAAGATAAAAAAGTTTTAAAAAAGTATTAATTAAATTATTATTTAATCTGAAAAAATCGTGTTAGCTAGCGCCTCTCCTTCCTACACTTTTCAATGGTATTAATTATTAAAGGGTAGAAGAGAGATTTACTAAATCCTTCTATTTTTCTTGTTTATCGAAGAAATAGTTGCGACACAAGGGGTGTGCATTTGTGAAGTTTCCCCAAACAAATCACCAGGCGAATCAAGGAAGAAGAAGATCGACGAAGAAGATGAAGGCATTGGGGTATTGGCTAATGTTGGTGGGTTCTCTTCGACTGTTGTCAGTTTGGTTTGGTTTCTTCGACATCTGGGCTCTTCGACTCGCCGTTTTTTCCAACACCACCAGTTCGGTTTCTCTTCCTCTCCCTGAAAAATCTCAATCTTCCATTCCCGTTTCGTCAATTTCTTCATCGATTTCATGTTTCTCGGTTAAAGTCATGTCCTTTTTTAATTACTTTCATCAATCTAGTGAGTGGGTCATGTTCTGATTTTAGATAGCGAGATGCTGAGATCTCCAAGGATCTACATTGGAGTACTTCAATCTTTTGAGCTTCTAGTCATGGAGATTAGTGAATAAACAATAAAAGACACGTATTTTTATTGTACCAAGAAGAATCCTTGATGTCAGGTTTAGAGGGGACAGTGTGTTGATCCGAGTTTCTCCAGAAAGTTTTGGTTTTTGGATCATTTGGAAGTGCAATGTAAGAAGGGATTCATAGTTTGAGATCCCGAAGTTGTGACTTTTGAAAGAGATTAAGAGTCAAATCTATTAGATGCGGGGAAAATAATGTTTTTTTTTTCCTTCTGGGTTTGGTCTAAGAAATTTGCAGGTGCACTGTATTTGTGGGGGGTCAAGTATTTTACAGATTAGAGAGGCTATCTTAAGATCTAAGGTTTCTGCTTTTACATATTGTTCCCCCTGTCTTGAAGGCTGTGAAGAAGGGAATTCTAATATGAATTCATTGATCATGTTGATGTCCAAATAATAAAAGTATTGAGTGAGATAGGAGTGAAAACCAAGGCATGCCTAGCAATTAGTTATTTGGTTTCTGCCTGTAGGTATCTCAATTTGCATTGAATGAGTATCATTTACCTTTCAAAGATGAGTTTCTCTTGCTAGTATGAGGTTATAGATCCGGTTCTTTGAGACGATTTAGTCCAAAGCATGCTCGAGACCACATCGATTTGGATAGTTGAGTAAGATATCTGTTAAAGTTTATTCGATCAGGGGGATAATCCTTTTAGAACCCGCAAACCGGTTGAGTTCGTCTGCAAATCTTAAAGAGAGTTGTGACTTGTTTTGTTTCCTCATTGCTTGGGATAGAAGTGTCTGGTTTAGAGGATATGTGTGCTGCTTAATGATTGACTTTCTTTATGGGGAATGTATAAGAAAAGATTATGCATTGGATATTTTTCTTTATCTCAATACAAGTGAATGGACTTTGTAGGTAGAGGGAAGAGGGGGAAGTACTTGGATCAATAACTTTAGCTGCTTTACAAGTTTTTTGTAGATTCCAATGAAGAACCTCTTTTTGTGGGATCTGCTGGTGCATATATATATATACACACACACATATGCATGTGTGTGTATATGAAGTGCCTTGGAATGCTTTAAAAAACAATGAACGTTTCAGTTGAATTAGTTCAATGGGCAGGTGAAATGCTCCAGACATTGTAAATGAACAGAATAGAATCAACATGAGAATTTTTATCTGCAGTAACATGGGTTTGCATTGTAAGGAACATTCTTCTGTAACCATGGAGAAATTATAACAATGTAGCATATTTTAACTCGGGTTTCTCTTATGATCTGATCCATTTTCGGCGGCTGTTTTTCTTTCTTTCGTAAAAAAAATGTTCAGTGACTGAAGTTCATGGACGTACATTTGGAGTATGGACGCTTCTGACGTGCACACTGTGCTTCCTTTGCGCCTACAACCTCGAGAACAGACCGATATACATGGCTACGTTCTTGTCGTTCATCTATGCCCTTGGTCATTTTCTCACCGAGTATCTATTCTACGACACAATGGCCATCAAAAATCTCGCAACGGTAGCTTTCTTCGCAGGTAAAAACCCGTCTGAACGTGTGGTATAACACATTCTTGCATCAGATCCGTTATGTCTGGATGCGTTTTTTCGGGTGAATGATCTTGAATCTTGGGGGTTTTTCTTTCTTTGGGACAGGAACGTCGATCTTGTGGATGTTATTGCAGTGGAATTCGCATCGGCAATCACAGTCCAAGCGTTCTTGATGATGAGCTCTTGCAACCATTGTTTCTTAATCTAAGGATTTAACTTCTTAAAGAGGCAATTCAAAGCCTCAATCGCTGCACTTCGATGTTTAATTTTTCTGGCCATTGGATTTTGTCAGATTTTGTTTTCGCGTCGCTTTTTTCTAACTGAACCAAATTGTGAACTTGAGTGTTTCTATTAACGGTAATGTTTAAGATTGGATAATATCGAATCAAATAGAAATGATTGAAAGATATGTAATTTATTCAAAATTAATATGATTATTATAAATATAATGGAAAAATAGTAAATAAATACATCAATTTGATAAAAACTTATCAATAAATATATCAATTTATAAACTGTCATATTAATACAACAAATTGCAATTTTTTTGACAAAATTACAAAGATGCTGACGGCGTTACCTGTTTAAATTTGGAAAAATTTGCATAAATACAAAAAAAAAGTTTTTGCATTCTATACTTCTACTAGTATAATCTTTGTATTCTTTATTTTTTTGAGTTAAAATGACCATCATATACTTCTATATTATTATAATCTACAGATTTTCTCTATTTATAAAAAATACTTGCATGAATTTCGTTTCCTCTACATACATGAAAAAACACTTATATGAATTTTGTTTTCTTATATAACTATAGAAAAACACTTGCATGAGTTTCGTAAAAAAACACTGGCAGGTTAGCAGGTGCGATAGGTGTTGTAGGTGCTAAAGATGGCCTACCGCAGACAACAAGTCATCTGGCAGACCGTAGGTCATCTGCCGTAGGCTGTAGGTCATTTACCGCAGAGCGTAGATCATTTTTCACAAACGGCAGGTCATCTTTAACAATTTTTTTAACAGACATTTCATCAAACACTTTATGTGCATAAAAAAAATGATCAGAATATCACAGAAAAAGAATTCAATCAGAAGAGTATTTGAATAGATTAGATAAACCGTAAGAAATAGAGAAGATAGAGAAAATGTCGGAAAAAAAATAAGATCAAATAACAAAGCGTTCCGATTTCTAAAAGATAGATTGTCACAAAAAAATACTTATATGGATTTTGTTTTCTTATATAAGTATAGAAAAACAATTGCATGTGTTTCGTGAAAAAGCACTTGTAGGTCAGCAGGTCATCAGGCTGCATGTCGCTAGTGACGTACTGCATGGCGTAAGTCACATGTGACATGTCGCAGGTGATCTACCGCATGTCGCAGGTGACCTGTTGTAGGCCGCAAGTCACATACTGGAACCTGCCGCCGTTTTCTATTTCAGAAATTTCATCAAACACCTTGTATGTAGAAAATAAAATGATCATATGAATACTACAGAAAAAGAAATCATGCAGAAGAATATTTGATTGATGAGATAAACTATAAGAAATAGAGAATATAGAAAAAATATTAGAGAAAACAGAACGACAAATCTCAAAATGCACTGATTTCTAAAATACATATTATCACATAATCGTAGAGAGATATAAACGAGAATATTTGGTCGAACCAGTAAAAGGATCGAGAGAATAGGTAAATGGACATGATCGTAATTACCGTTAATTATTTGGTCGCATTTGGATTATGTTTAACGGTCGTAATTATGGTTAATTATCTAGTCGTAGTCGTATTTGTATTATGTTCGTAATATAATCATGGTCATAATTATATGATCGTAGTCGTAGTTATATGGTCGTAATGTATTATAGTCGTAGTGAGTTGTAGTGAGTCATAGTCGTAGTTATATGGCCGTAATGAGTCGTAGTCGTAGTTATATGGTCATAGTGAGTCATTGTTATATGGTCGTAGTGAGTCGTAGTCGTAGTTATATGGTCGTAATGAATTCATTGTCGTAATTATCTGGTCGTAGTCGTAGTTATATGGTCGTAGTGAGTCGTATATGGTCGTAGTGAGTCGTAGTCGTAGTTATATGGTCGTAGTGAGTCGTAGTCGTAGTTATATGGTCGTAATTATCTGGTCGTAGTCGTAGTTATATGGTCGTAGTGAGTCGTATATGGTCGTAATGAGTCGTAGTCGTAGTTATATGGTCGTAATGAAATCACAGTCCATAGCCGCAGGTCCGCAGATCCGCAGGGCGATAGCTGCAGGTCCATAGGTCTGCAGGGCGATAGTCGCATGCCCGCAGGTCCGCAGGGCGATAGCCGCAGGTCCACAAGTCCGGAGAGCGATAACCGCAGGTCCGCAGGGCGATAACCGCAGGTCCGCAGGTGCGCAGGGCGATAGTCGTATGCCTGCAGGTTTGCAGGGGAATAACCGCATGTCGCAGGTCCGCAGGACGATAGCTGCAGGTCCGTAGGTCCGCAGGGGGATAGCCGCATGCCCGTAGGTCTGCAGGGCAATAGCCACAGGTCCACAAGTTTGGAGAGCGATAACCGCAGGTCCATAGGTCCGCAGGGCGATAGCCGCAGGTCCGCAGGTTCACAGGGCGATAGCCGCAGGTCCGCAGGTGTGTAGGGCGATAACCGCAGGTCCGCAGGGTGATAGCCACAGGTCCGCAGGGCGATAGCCGTAGGTCCGTATGCCAAATGACCTGCCGCAGACCGCAAATCATCTGTCAGAGACCATAGGTCATTTAAGCATAGCGCATGTCATTTTTCACAGATCGCAGGTCATCTACCGCAGTTTCTGGTACAGACATTTCATCAAACACCTTATGTGCATGCAAAAAAATGATCAGAATATCATAGAAAAAAATCAACGAGAAGAGTATTTGAATAGATTAGATAAACTATATAAGAAATAGAGAAGATAAAGAAAATATTCGAGAAAAAAGAAGATTAAATAGCAAAACTTACCGATTTTTGAAAGATAGATTATCACACAATCGTAGAGAAATACTGTAAAGGGTAATTTGGGTATTTAGAAAAAAAAGTATATTATGCAAAAATTATTTTTTTGTGAGATATTTTACAAATTTTGTTTTTGTTTTGGTACAGTTTGCCAATTGCCCCTTAAATTTTTTCATCACAAGACGATGATGTGGATGTACAATTTTTGACACGTCAACCCAGGAATCAAATGTACTAAACTATGTCATAAAAAAATGACCCGGTTTAATAAAATAAATTTGCAAAACTAAATTCCACATAAAAAGTGGTGAAACACCTTTGACGAAACCGACGGTGAAGCACCTCCGACGAAATCGATCGACAGTGAACCTTCAGACCGACAACGATTCCACTTTTGGCCCGAAAATAGGGATGTCAATTAAACCCGAATCCCGAAACCCGATCCGAGCCTGCCCGAAAAATTAAAGTCATGGGCCTAATTAATATATATCACATACGTTAATATATATATATATATATATATTAAAATTATATATTATTTTATTTCTAAAATCATATATATATATATATATATATAATCGACTATTTTGATAAGATTTTGATCTAATTTATATGTATAATGTTTTATGAATTTAATTTTAAATTTATATGAATATTTTTTATACCGAATATATATTATATATATTAAAAAATAGTAGATAAATTTGTATATTTTAAAGTTTATATGATTATTTTTTAATTTAAAATTTTTTAAATGTAGTCGATATGGATAAAAAAATTTATCTTTATTTTAATATATTCTTATCGGATGTACTTTTAGATAATTGATCAATTAAACAATTTTTTTAATTTTATTTTTATTTCATTGAATGTTTATATTATTATTATTATTATTATTATTATTATTATTATTATTATTATTGTCACAAAAAATATTTTTATTTAATAAAAAAACCTGAAGCCCGGGCCGAACCAGCCCGAAGCCCTGTAGGATCGGACTCCATATCATCGATGATAGACCCGAAAAATAAATGGGCGGACCGATCCGACCTGAAAAAATCTAGGCCCGAATTGAACCCGGCTCAAGCCCGGCCAGACCCGTCCATTTTACACCCCTATCCGAAAACCCTAATCGCGATTTCACTCTCCCTCTTTCTATTTTACTTCCCTTTCTTCGATTTCACTTTAGTTAAAAAGTTAAATTTATTTCATCTCGATCGGTTTGGTTCTTTGATTTTTTTCCAAATCGAGTTAAATTTATTTCTATTCAAATTTATAAACCGACTGATGATATAGAAAATAAAATCTGACCTGGTGTCTGCATGGCAAATAAAAGCAAGCCAGGTCAACAACATTTAGCGAAAACCGTTAACATCAACGTCCTTGTAGGATTTTGCCAAAAATTGCAATTTGATGTATTAATCTGGCAGTTTACAAATTTATGTATTTGTTGATAAGTTTTTACCAAATTGATGTATTTATTTACCATTTTCCCTAAATATAATTGATCTATTTTTTTAAATTAAATTATCTAAACACAAGCAAACTAAATATACAAATAACTAAAAAATGTTTTTATAAATAATTATATATATATATATATATATATATATATATATTGAAACCTATATAAAAATAACTTAACAGAAACGAATCCAAAATCGTTCAGCTCTAAATTTAATTTAATAATGTAGAGCTTTGGATGCTACGGATTGTGAATAATCATGAACAATAATCAACATTGGTTTTCTAACTAAATGATGCGGTGAGCATGTGAAATTAGACAAAATAAATCAATAAAATAATTTTTAGTTCTCTCCCGATGCTCGTGTGTTCAAGAATCGAAGAATATAGAAGATTTTTACGAGTTCGGTTACCGAGTTACCTCAGGCCTACGTCTCGGCCGGAACGGCGCCGGCGAATCCACTAGAGATCGAACACAAACAACCGGAGAACAAGAACAGACGGTCCTCCACAAAATCGGAGACTCGTCGAACCAAAACCGTATGAGAAAACTACCGGGAAGATACACGAGACCCTTACCGACCCTTACCTCGACTCGCCTTTGGCGGTCGCCGTCGAACCGAGCTTCGCCGTCTCCGGAAACTCCTCCGACTCTGTTCTCCCTCTCTTTGTCCGTTCTTCCTCTCGCTTACATCGAGCACCGTGCATCCGTAGAATGAATCGATCCATTAGGGTACTAACCCTAATGTCCTTGAAACGCATCGTTAGGCCTAATGGGCCATCTTCCTTTTTTCACCAAAAATGGGTCGTGCGGCCCAACAATCTCCACCTTGGTGAAGAAAAGAACAAACACACGGAATAAAACAAATAATAAACACTAGTGGTTCGCCGATTCTGGCACCGATCGACTTTCGTCGATCCTTCGACTTTCGTCGGAATTTAAATGCAAACTTACCTGACTTACCTCACTTACCTGTTATACGGAGATTGTCATATGTCGCTCTGAATCTGATGAAGCTCCCGTCGATGACTCCTCATGGCCTCGTCGCCTTATCCTGCCACCGATCTGCTTATCCAAACCTGAAACACTCGGTAAACGTGTTAGAACGTTCACCCCGATAGGACTCGAACCGAAGTCCTATCCCGCGTCGCCCGACTGGCGAACGCTACCCTCGGTTGTATGACTCCCTAGATCGTCTAACTAACCCTCCTAATAAAGTCCAAGACTATACCCGCTAGCTAATCCGAGGATTATACCTGACGTCTACCCGTCTCCTAAGGCTATCCTGCTTTTCTCGAGACTAACCTGAGTCATACTACCGAAACCCGCTAGATACCTAGCCCGGATCCCCGTGAAGTCTACACTACCTATAGGTATACGACTTCTACCCTCGAACCCTAACCTGCCAACTAAGATTGTCCCACGGTTTTGTCCCGTGAAGACGATCCTAGTTATCTACGATGCTCCACCGAGAATGAGACACGTGAGTGCACGTGCTCCACCTCGAGAGGGAGTGTCCTAGCGCTCTAACCTACACCGACTCTACCCGGTGAAATCCCGACACCTCCCAGCTCACACCATCTCCTGAGCATCCTACCCGAAGAAGCTCCACCTAAATATGGAGACCTCAACTCCTGACCTACCACCGAGAACCGAAGCATCTTCGGTTACTCCTCCGAGGTCAAAAATGTCCTTTTATCTTGGACTCTCCCTACCTCGTCATCCGGGATCTACAAATCTTCCATGTAGTATCCCTACATACCCGCGGAACCACTCACTACACCTCGGTCCTTGGCCTTCTCCTGCAACCCGATTTCTCGGGTTTGCCCGAGACCCCTAGTCCTTCCATCATACCCCCTTTACCGAGCTAGAATATCTAACTCCATCATCCTAAGACGATAAAACCTGAGTCTAAAAAATCGACTCTACCTGGAAGTGACTTTCCAGACCCTAGAAGTGAAGTAACATGACACGAGGGATGAGACCGAACCCTAGAGGACTTAACCCTAGGTATATTTCTACCTAGTCGTGCTTGGCACGCTCTAACCCTAGTCTATCGGTCCTAAACCTAGGTACATCTCTACCTAATCAGACCTACAAGACCTAAAGAACACGACCTGACCGGACTTAACCTAGGCACTCAACCTAAACCCGATCTAACGGACTTTAAACCAAGTCTAACCGGACATCTCCCTAAGTACATCTTACCTAAACGGATCTAACACACTCTAGACCAGATCTGATTGAACTTAACATAAGGTATATTTCTACCTAACCGACCTCTTAGACTCCCGCACAAACCTGATTGGACTTACCCTATGCATAATTTTGCCTAACCGACCTATTAGACTCGAAACACAGCCTACCTTAAGACCTGATTACGTCTAACCAGACCTAACTTAAGGCTAACCGGACCTGATTACATCTAATCATACCTATAACACCGAGTCTACATGACCCCCAACAAAGTCCTAACCAGTCCTACGATCCCGAGTCTACCGGCCCCTCACAAAGTCCTAATCAGACCTACCCAAGTGCTATGTAGACCCTAACAGCCCTAGTTAGACAACCAAAAGCCCAAACTCGACCGAAAACCCTAATCAGACATAAGTCAATCCTAATTGACCTAACCAACCCCTAATTAGTTAACCTAAGTCCTAGTTAGTTACCTAAAAGTCCTAATCAACAATCCTAAGCCAACCCTATTGACTTACCAACCCCTGATTAAACTTTTAACACCCTAATCAGACCTGAACTAAGTCTAATTGACCTAATTCTCATCTGATCAGACCCTATAAACGCCTAGAACCAACCCCTACACACCTGCCCTGATCTAAACCGACCCCTACAGACCTATACCTAGTGATTCTAGACTTAACCAACCCCTAAACCAACCCATTTTAGTCAAATCCCAACTAATCAGACCTAACCGGTCAATGTACCGGACTCTATGACTCAAAACAGGTACTTAAGAGTCCTATCTAGTCATAAACTAGATAATACCTAAATCTATAATCAGATTCTAATCTGATCAGACCTAGACAATGTCTCTATATACATTCTAAACCTCTAATCAGACCTAACCAAGTCTATTTTGACCTAATTACCTACTGTTCAGACCTAGACTAAGCTAGACTAACCCAAATTTGGCTTACCCCAGACCTAACCAAGACCTAAACAGCACTTACAGACCTATACCGACTTAAACCAGTCTACTACAGACCTGTACCAGCCTATTTAAGCCCAACCCGACCTCCTACCCAGCTAAACGTAGTCAAATCCAACTTATTAAGACCTATACTGAACAAAAACCGGAATCTATGACCTATATTAGCTAAACTGAGATCTAAACATGTCTATCCTTAGTATATTTCACTAAACCAAGCCAAATTTGGATACTAGACCGACCTAACAGGGTAAACCGATTACTACAGACCTAAACATACCCTAAACCAGTCCATTATGCCCTTAACAAGACACCATCAGACCTAATTTTTGGACTAACCTAACCCTAAATCAGTTAGTTCTAGTCCTAATTATACACTCCATACCCTAAACCGATTTAATCTAGTCCTAAACCACGAATTCAGATCCTAACCCGACCAATACCAGCCCTAACCAGATAAATCAGATCATAAACAGACCTCTATTAGCCTAAAACCAATCTGATCTTACCTAATACCGGACCCAATTGACCTATACGGTCTAATTCTAGCCTAATTGGACGAACAAACCCTAACCTTAGACTTAAACCAGTCTAAACCGGCCTTAGTTCACCTCCAATCACACCCTATTGGTCTGAACCAAACAATTCTAGCCTTTCCCAGACAAATCAGACCCTAACCAAGACTTAAACCCGCCTAAACTAGTCTGAATTGCCCTAAACCGGACTCAATTGACATAAACCGGACATGAATTGACCTAAACTGGACTCAATTGTCCTAAACCGGACCTAGATTGACCTGAACGGTCTAAACCGGTCCAATTGACCCCAAACCGGACCTGAACCGGTCCGATTTGAACACAAACAACCGGAGAACAAGAACAGACGGTCCTCCACAAAAACGGAGACTCGTCAAACCAAAACCGTATGAGAAAACCACCGGGAAGATACACGAGACCCTTACCGACCCTTACCTCGACTCGCCTTTGGCGGTCGCCGTCGAACCGAGCTTCGCCGTCTCCGGAAACTCCTCCGACTCTGTTCTCCCTCTCTTTGTCCGTTCTTCCTCTCGCTTACATCGAGCACCGTGCATCCGTAGAATGAATCGATCCATTAGGGTACTAACCCTAATGTCCTTGAAACGCATCGTTTGGCCTAATGGGCCATCTTCCTTTTTTTCACCAAAAATGGGCCATGTGGCCCAACATTATTCAAGAGGTTTCGAGCAGTCGAGATGCATTAGGTAGTACCAATTCTCCAGCAACGAGCATCTTCTTCCTTTATGTTGCAACCGGATTGACAACAAGACGTTCCGTATGGCTCGATCTAGTTTCCATCGTATAAGTTTGTCTCTATTTGTGCATGTATTTGCATATGTGTACAACATAAACAACAATTTGCTCATGCGATCATTAAGAAATCCAGCAAAAATCAAGCTCATCCATCATAAAAAATTTAAAAAAAAAACTTGAATCCTTTCATTCGATAGATATTAACAACAATCTCATTGCAAAAGAGATGCGTAAGCATGTAAAAAAAATAACTTGAATCCTTTCATTCTGTAAATATTAAAAAAATGATAAATGAGATACATGAAACCATTAAGAAAATTTATGTATTTTATTTCCGACACTCTAACTTGTATCAATATTGATTATATCTAAAAATTCAGTTATCTAAATAAATATTGTCCGCCGATTTAAAATATTAAAAATTAAAATCCGTATATTATGGATTTTTCATTAATATTTTGTTATTAAATTTTGTTGATTTATTTAAGCAATTAGAAAAAAAAGTGAATACACAAAATGTAAAAAGGAAAAGATTTAGTTTTTATTCCATTCGAGGTAATGTATTTATGTTAAGGTAGACTACATATCACTAAGCAGAAGTAGAGATGGAAGCACAATGGTTCCAAACATCATCTCTCCTCTTCAAATATTCAGTTTCGCGAGCAATGAAACTCGGTCGATCCGCCATGTATTTGATAAGTGTGTCATGACACAATTTGCCTTCTTGGACAAGCTCATGACAACAAACATCGGAGACAGTACCATTCCAAAAGACACTTTCGACAATGTCTAATGTACACTTCGGAGTCATTTTGGTGAGACATTGATCCCAAAGTTGTTTGGGTTCACCTTCTTCAATGGCTGAGATCGGCACAATTGCATGCACTAGGGCTACAACAACAACGGAAAACACAACTATCTTCTTGATGTTGAATTTTTGCCATGTAGAGAATGCATGTTTTGGACTTGTAGAGTGAAAGTTATTGAACTTGTAAATTTTAACATTTTCTAGGCTTCACGTTTTCCCTAGAAACACTCCAAATGTTTCCGTTTCGTCCATGATGTTCCGTAACCCATGTTTTCCACTCTTTTTGCTCTTTTTATGCGTGAAAACCTGTTGTGACACCAAGAAACACAACCATGCAATGTCGAAGCCAAATGTGCCCTAGAATGCCTATAAATCAGTAAAATAGAGTGAAATACGCTAGACATAGAGATAGATGACATTCATCTATAGTGTGGCCACACATTTCCATAGTCTCACTCCTACGACGGGCCCAAGCGATATCTCTCTCTTTCAAGAGGGACAAAGTTCCATCTTGAGTATCTACTATCCATTACATGATTCATAATGTCCCCGAGCCACGCCTTTATAATCATCCGGTTAAAGACGATGTTTGACGCAGTCAAAGTACATTACTCGTCATGATGGATACAATAGATATCTCAGGTCTGAGGATCCAAAGTGAACCATCAAGTGAGATTCAAGTCATGGATTAAATCCAATCGACAATCTCACGCGAGTCATCCAGTCACTTGTTCCAAACAAGTACTCATGATCGTGATCCGTATCTAATACATATGATCATCACCATGATCATCCATCACACCTCATCTTAGTCTTAATTCATCATTGCTCCCACAATGACAAGCGACTAAGGAATTTAGGATCGTTCATAACGATCCATGGATTTCATTATTTATCAAATATGCAAAATAAATAATGAACAAACAATGCATTCATCCAATAAATACATCGTATCATACATAGTTATTATATCGTATGATCATCCTAGAGCATCACATCCATCAATATGAACTTATAGATTGTGTAGTATGCGAACTGAATTGAGTCGACAAGTCTTCAACGAGTCGATGAACATAAAAACGAAATGAACACACATGTTTTACGAGTTTGGATCCTTACAATCCTACGTTACCTTGACAATCCACTAGTTTCGATCAAGAGCTTACACAAAAACGAAATGAACACCGAGACTCTCGAAAGAAGAATACAACTCGAGAAGGAGAAAAACACGATATCTGATTTAAACAAGTTCTCAACCAATTAACAAAACAAAAAAGAAAACAAGTTCTCAATGTAGAAATTTGCGGAATGATATCTTTATTCATAATCAGAATAACATATAAATAGATGAGAGTCTTACATTGAATAAGTAAACTAAATAAAATAATAAATATTTCTAAATATATATTTTCCGGATTTGATAAGATTGAGATATCTCATAATATTCTTCAAGATCCGGTATATCTCAACATCCCCCTTCAAGTTGGAACGTGAGTAAACTAAATAAAATAATAAATATTTCTAAATATATATTTTCCGGATTTGATAAGATTGAGATATCTCATAATATTCTTCAAGATCCGGTATATCTCAACATCCCCCTTCAAGTTGGAACGTGAAAGATTACGAAACGCCCAACTTGCTGAAAAGATGATCAAACGCATGCCGCTTGAACCACATCACCTTGCGAACTTGTGTCGATAGAAAACATAACTAAAAAAATCAAACAAACGACTGCGCTGCAACTTTGGCACCACGCACAAAAGAATCGTTTGATGATAACAAAAAAAAGGACGACAATCGCGGTGCAGAAAGAAGTCTCGGGAATAACTCTGATTCATCCGAGATTGAAAAGCAACTACGCGAAAGCGTTTAATGACAACAATTTTTTTTGGCAAGAATAAAATGATTGGCGGTTATGCGAATAATCTTTAGAAACATGTGGGATTATGAGAGAAAAAACAAACAAACAAAATGACTCTCTTATTCTTAAAAAAACTCGAAATGATATTACCATTGGATCGGTATATCATCATATTCATCGTCACTCTCATTATCGATCATCATTTTTATGAAAAGAACAACAAATTAGAAAAGAACCATAAACTCTGATACCATGTAGAAAAATAAAATGCGGAAATAAAATAAGACAAATAGAAAGAAACAGAATTACTTTTATTACTACATCTCTTCTTCTTCTTTTTTTCATTACAATGAAAATAACTCACATATTTATAGAAAAATTAACAAATGAAATAAAAGGAAATATAGATATAACGGAAATAAATATGATTCACAATATTTAACATAATATTGTGTTCCTCCAAAATCTAGATTTTCCTCCAATCACATATTCATTTTTCTACTTCAACAATGAATATGTAGACAAATGAATATGTGATTGGAGGAAAATTGAGATTTTGGAGGAACACAATATTATGTTAAATATTGTGAATCATATTTATTTCCGTTATATCTATATTTCCTTTTATTTCATTTGTTAATTTTCCTATAAATATGTGAGTTATTTTCATTGTAATGGAAAAAAGAAGAAGAAGAGATGTAGTAATAAAAGTAATTTTGTTTCTTTCTATTTGTCTTATTTTATTTCCACATTTTATTTTTCTACACTCAACAGTTTAACAAAAAAAAACAAGCTCTCAACAGAACTAACTAACTAAGTTAGTTAGTCGAAATTACCAAGGTACCCCTGATAACCCTCTAGTCAAATTTTTACTTTTTCCTTCTTGTTTCTGTTGCGCTCTTTTCCATCTGTTTTCCATTTGGTTTTTCTTTTCCCCTTTTTACCAAAATTCGTGTATATATATATATATGTGTGTATGCGCGCGCATATGTATGCATAAGTTTTTTTTTGGTGTAATGTGAATGTGTATTTATCAAGAATAAGAGTTTTTAACAACCAGGCTATGAAATCTGTAAACAAAATAGGTACAAAAAATTTCCATCGCAGTGGTCAAAATAAACTATTTATTCAAGAGGTTTCGATCAGTCAAGAATTCTCCTGGTTTGACGCATTAGGTAGTACCAATTCTTTGGCAACGAGCATCTTCTTCCTTTATGTTGCAACGGGATTGACAGCAAGATGTTCCGTATGGTTCGGTCTAGTTTCCGTCGTATAAGTTTGTCTCTATTTGTGCATGTATGTGCATATGTATACAACATAAACGACAATTTGCTCATGCGATCATTAAGAAATCCAGCTAAAATCAAGCTCATCCATCATAAAAAAAAACCATGATCCAAGTTAGTAAGACATTTACAAACCATCAATATAAACAACAGTCTCATTGCAAAAGAGACGCGTAAGCATGTTAAAAAAACCTTGAATCCTTTCATTCTGTAAATATTAAGAAAATGATAAATGAGATACATGAAACCATTAAGAAAATTTATGTATTTTATTTCCGACACTCTAACTTGTATCAATATTGATTATATCTAAAAATTCGATTGTCTAAATATATATTGTCCGCCGATTTAAAATATTAAAAATTAAAATCCGTATATAATGGATTTTTCATTAATATTTTGTTATTAAATTTTGTTGATTTATTTAAACAATTAGAAAAAAGTGAAAACGCAAAATGTAAAAAGGAAAAGATTTAGTTTTTATTCCATTCAAGGTAATGTATTTATGTTAAGGTAGACTACATATCACTAAGCAGAAGTAGAGATGGAAGCACAATGGTTCCATACATCATCTCTCCTCTTCAAATATTCAGCTTCGCGAGCAATGAAACTCGGTCGATCCGCCATGTATTTGATAAGTATGTCATGACACAATTTGCCTTCTTGGACAAGCTCATGACAACAAACATCGGAGACAGTACCATTCCAGAAGACACTTTCGACAATGTCTAATGTACACTTCGGAGTCATTTTGGTGAGACATTGATCCCAAAGTTGTTTGGGTTCACCTTCTTCAATGGCTGAGATCGGCACAATTGCATGCACTAGGGCTACAACAACAACGGAAAACACAACTATCTTCTTGATGTTGAATTTTGCCATGTTTGTCTTATGCTTCTTTTTTTTTTACGTTATGTTTTTGTTTGATGTTTGAATTGCATTATGAATGTAAGAACTACACTATATATACACAATAATATAAAATATAACGGAACCTTTTAATTTGATGTTATAAATGTCTTTCTTAACTTCTATAGTAATTATTATGGGGAAGTTGTTTTTGCTTGTCCCTAGCATTCACATCAACTGCGTTATCCGGTTTTGAAAAAGAAGACATTTCGAATAATTTGACTTCCATTAAGACAAAAGTTTGATCATGAATAATTGGTAATAAAAATAATATTCTCTTGTGTCCTAATAAAAAATGGATACAATCGTATATTGTTTGATTGGGTTCTATTAGATATTTTTATTTTATTGAGTATAGTTTTGGTTATTTATTTAGATTATTTATGAATGATATATTAGCTTGAATTTTTTAAATATTGATTATACATAAATTTTAAAAATAAAAGTAAATTTCAATAAAAAAAATTCAAAAATCTAATCCGAATAAAATGTAAACAAGTAAAGCAAATAAAATGTTATTAAATAAAAAAGTTAAAAATATACATAATATTTAATTTCAGTAGATACAACCAATATCAGTGCAATAATTTTTAAATTATCATAAAATAATGTTTAATCATTTTCCTATTAAATTCGCTTAATTCAATTGAATTTAAAAGTATGCTCAATTAATTTTAGATCAAATTATCATGTGTTTCCATCACATTAATCCACATTCTCAACCCTAATTTTAAACCCCAAAGTTCACATATGTGTATTATACACACACACATTAGAGATTAAAATACCAAAATCAATTTGTAATTGGTGGCGTGAGACAAAAGAAGGATTAGTGTTTACCTGGGTAGAGTAATTAGTATCTGACTAGCTGCAACAAACTAAGCAAAAAGAGTATAACAGGGTCCTCTAATTGATATTAAAAAGAATACGGTGAAATTTGTAAATTTTAAAAAATACACGAGGTAGAAGTACTTCCAAGTTCCAACCCCTTTTACAACGCTATGAATAGCTTGAGACTGATCATACTATCTAATCTTCATTACAAGTTTTGGATATCGGAAACTGATTTTGCTCGATATAGAAACCGATCATGCATTAAGATAACGAATGTCGGGTTACCGCAATTTAACTTCCAAGCATATCATTTCATCTCCCCTTCTTCTTTCTATGGCATGAAATTGTCATTCATGTGTTGTATAACATCCGTTCCTGCATCATTGATACACTTTGTTTTCACCTGCGAATGTTAACATTGGAGGAGGGTTCAGGGATCCATGTCACAGAAACTTCCCTTTCAAGAGGAGGTTTTACCAACTTGCCTGAATCGTGTTGTGAGCGAGAAATCTCTGTATGCTTCCTCTGAAGTTAACGTCGATCCTTTCCCACCTCAGTTTCGTTAATCCTCTGATCATTTCCTCTGTAAATTTACGAGAAAGATCGATGAACATTTGATCTTTCATATACGGCATCATGCGCAAAAGATATGATGGGGCATTGCATCATTAAGAAACAAGAAAGCTGGTACGGGAAGAATGATTCCACCGAACCTTCCATGTCGAAATTGTTAAACCCGACTGGATTGGCCTCTGATAGATCTTCATTGCGGTTAATTGCAGTGGCTGGTGGTTCAACGTTTACGATGTGAGGGTATTTCTCGCTGACTGATCGTCGTTGAAGCTAAAAGACGAGTAGCAAGAAATATACCAATTCAGATGTCCAGCAAAAAACACAGACAATACAATATCGGTAACAAAATTTACCTTTGGAAGCTCGTTATGGCGCCGAATTGACGATGTGCTCCATCCAACAAGGTCTAGCCAAGAGATTTAGGGTTTCAAATGGATGAAAACTGCTAAACCAATTCCAAGTTTATAGTTTAAACCTTCATATTATCATCAACCGTCTAAGATAAACGAAGGGGTATGTTCGTTAGTTAATAGAGAATGCGGGAGAAAAAAGAGGATACGGTCGAAACTTGTATTTGCATAAGCAACACAACGCTTGAAGCACTGCAAAGCAGAACTGCCAGATAAAAAAAGGCAGGATGTGATACATCACAAATTATTTACCCCGAAGCCATTAAGATGAAAGAAAAAATTTAGTGAAGGAACTCACATAAACTTAAGATCTTCATTGTCACTAACCATTTGGAGAAGCAGAGGAGGTTTTCCATCATCTTTGTCAGCGAGAAAGAGATGTTTTCCCGTTCTACCAAGACACCATGAAATACGAGTAGCAAATCTTTCCAACGTGTACAATCCACCAAACAATGGGACCTTTATACAGATCAAGATGCAAGACGTAAAAGTAAGTCGGCGTTCTGATTTTAAAGCACCACAATTTCCATCAAGCGTCTAACAAGACATTCGAACAAGGGAAGGAAACAATGATCTCAATGTTCAATCTCAAATCCATTTCATAGTCGTAATAAATGGCCATTTTGGATGTACTGGACTTCATTTATCTTTATGCTTAAGATGTTAGATGATGCCCAGATGCTTCTTTCATTTTATGTGCTAATGTCATGCACCGAAAAACATCAAAGTTCTTCACTTTGACCCATAAAGGTGTGATCTTTCAAAAAAATCATATGGTGATACCGATAACAAATTGAAAAGTGTCAAGATCACCTGTTTATGTCCTCTTGAACCGAGGTGTGGTGCAGCAGAAGTTATAAAATTTATAGGCTCTAGCTTAGCAATTCTCCCTTTAAATCCCTCTCCTCCATGTGAATCCCCGATGTTTTCACTCGGATGATCATTGTTTTGAGCAAGTTCATCTCTGGTTTCTTGTTCATAAAGACAAGCAATGGCATACCTTGCGATAAGACCTCCCAAAGAATGCCCGACAAAGGAAATCTTCCGGAGGCTTGGATGACGTTCTATAACCGATCTAACCTAAAGGAAGAAATGAAACAAACATGGTGAAGATTATCAGCCCGTATGAGAAAAAAATTTAGGGTTTTGGCACCACAGACGATCAAATCAGTATAACCAAACATATTCCTTCACGAGTGAAGGTATTATTAGCATGCAAGACAACGAAAATGCAACTGCATCACTGGGAGGAATATACGTACGGACCAAAACACTCACCTCTTCAGCTAATCTCTGTCCCATAACATCAACACCATCGAATGTCAGCATCGAATAATTGCGTTTACTACCTGCAGATTAGATCAACCACATTGCATTCATCGCATACATACATACATACACTAATTCTAGCTATCAACATGATACACGAAAAACGGGTATACCAATCAGAAGAGAACAATGACATCAAAAGAAATATATGCTGAAGATCTTCATCTAAAGATGGTTTCTTTTCCCTTTTTGTCAGAATACTATACTGTAGTATCTGGAGATCATTCACTAGTTGCAACTTCCATGGAAGAGATTCAAACCATTTCCACAAAAAAGGAATAGAGAGAAGAACTCACAGTGAACCAGAAGATCTTCGGGATACTTCTTCAACAGCTGCTTAGCTGCAAATCTCCAGTTCTGCGCACTGAAACCCACAAACCAATTAGCTCAGAAAAAGAAAGGCGTGAAATCGAAACTAAATCAAACACCAAACAACGAATCAGAGAGACCCTCAAAGACCTTCCAATAAGACCATTGACCATGACGACCAGGTGAGTCGGCTCAGCGCGTTCGCCTGGGAAATCCACAGTCATGTCCACATTTCCTCTCTCGTCCGATTCAACTCGGAGACAACCCATCCAATAATTCTTCTTTCCTCCACCTTTCCTCTTCCCGCTTCTCTTCGTCTTCGTTTTCTTCATCGTCGTCTTCTTCTTCCCCGCTCCTCTGTTTTCGCGATCACTTCCACGTTCGTCTTCCTCTCTATCCGCAGAACCCACTTTGCCTACTTCCTCCATGAGCGAGGATCGATCAAGCAGACTAAGATCGGAGAAGAATGCAGAGAATTACTCGAGCTTATAAACGAAAATGGCACAGTGTCCCTCGTCTCATGCGGGGTTATATGGCCGTCGTGTTGGAAAGATTCAAGGTCAAATTCGAAGAATTAGAAAGCTTGCAGGTCAAAATTAGAAAAATCGATGTCCTTTTTGAGAGACTCGAAAGGGGTCAAGAAGGCGGTTTCTCAGTAGTTGTAGTGGGAGGAGGGTGGGGAGACTGAACTGGACCCCCTTCGAGATTCCAAGTTCTAACCAAACAAGGAAAAATTTAAAAATCCCGGTTAGACCGGTTCGACTTTTACACGGATACCAAACCGGGTCTTGTGCCAAGTCAAAATTGGTGTCCAACCGTGGCGATCTTGAATTATCGATTGTGACCCCTTCCATATGTATGTGTGCATATATATGCTGTTAAATGGAATCAATTTAGATTTTCTTTAACTTGTTGTTTATTTTTTATTTATAGGGTTTTTCTTTTTCTTTTATATTTTTAAATGTCAAATCTATAGCGTATGATCTTTTTTCTCCATTAGGTCAAATCCCATTTGATTTTGATGGAGATCAATTCTGGGCCTTGGTTTAGTGGGTTTGGGCTGATTTTAGAGTTTCTATTTCATTAGCTTTCGTTATTCTGCTTTTGGAAATTGTTTGTTATACGTTTCTATTCCATTTTGTATAAAAGAATGATTTCTCCATTTGAATGAATGCGTGATAAAACATCCCAAAATATGTCTCCCGTTCTTTTTCTCTCAATCTGTGTTTTACAAAGTTTATAAGATATCAATATTGGATCTTCCGGTATCCAAAAGGGACAAGCGTAAGTGGAAAACAAAATTTGTCTGAACCCTAAACAATGATTCTCAACTATATGATATACTAATCTATAAACGATCCTTGACATGGTATTCAACGACGAACAACACCACTTGAGGCGACAAAGAACACTCTCTACCGATATCCATACGATACGCCGGGATGGACACAATCTGATTGGAATCTATACGTGTGGGGGGGGTTTTGTGAAGGGCAGGGTTCATTTTTCTAAGCTCTCGGAGGCTGTAGAAGTTCTATAAACAAAATTTTCTAAATCCTAGACATCCGAACCTCGCATGTAAATGTTCTAAGGAAGAGATGTTAAGCGATGTTAACTTCATCCAATGACCTAACTTAATAGAATCACCAAGACCATGAAGGATGCCTAACACCCTCCACGATATCGACAGTGGATTGGAATCCGATTCACGGATTTGGTCTGCCCATTTTTGTGTCGGATTAATGGGATTAATGGGTTGATCCAATCTATTTAATTATTATTATTATTATTATTGGGTCAAACAAAATTAGATGAATGGAAACACGAAGGCAACGTTTGATCGATCGGTCGCATTTCAATGCAGGTTGGTTGGGTGTGGGGTCCAAAATATAACATTGCCAACAAGTCTATATTGTTTACGATGTATGTATGTATGTATGTATGTATGTATGTATGTATGTATGTATCGATGTATGTATGTATGTATGTATGTATGTATGTATGTATGTATGTATGTATGTATGTATGTATGAGAGAGAGAGAGAGACCTTGACTGGTCCCGACAAGATCACACAATGCAAAAACATCTCCTTAATCTGATGATACTAAATGGAAACCCTTCGGCCGAATTTAAATTTATCTTTAATTTTGCGATGACGGCTTCACTTCTAAATAATATTATTTAATTCATATATCGTTTTGACATTCTGGATGAAATTATTCTTCTTGTTTCCAATAAAAAAACCTGTCTCTGATTATTTTTTTTTTGGAAGAAAAAAACTCTTAATGATACAGGATATATAGATACAGACAGATAGTGCGCTGTATAACATGTTATAATTAAGTTAGTAAATGCTATTATGATTGGATTCAATAATACCAAATTCTACTGGAAATCGTTAATTGGCGAGTTAGAGGAATGGATTTATAAATTATTTTTTAAAAGGGCAATTTTACTAATTTAGGCAAGTGACCCATAGATTACTATGAGTATTTGCTCGCCTATGCGTTTACATTTAGAGGCATTTACTTGATAAGCAGTTAAAAAAATCTTTGATCAAGAAAGTTTAGGCTAAAACAAAAATGAAAATCCCATAATAGTCACATACATATATAACTAAAAGATGGGATATAAAATGTATAGATTTACGCACAAAATTTTGGGTTATCTCTAAATCTGAATATGAGGATTTCTTATTATAAGAGTCTCAAAATCCGATTTTAATTTATGAAATTTGGATAATCGAGTTTTGGATGGATGAAAAATGTCTAACTGTTCAAAACCGAATCTCTATTTTCAGTTCTCGGTCAAAATATTTTATTTTTGATAAGATTTGTCCCTAATGGAATTTGAATCTGGATTGGAAGCACTTTGTATAACCCAACCACCAGACTACCCCACTTGGACTTCTCAATCAAAATATTTGGATGGTCAAATCTAAATCTGAATTTGCAAATCTATTTTGGTTTTGGGTTAATAATCCTAATGATATCGGAAATAATGGAAAATTAAATTTGTTTGTTAGTATGTTTTGTGTTTAAGTTTCCTTGCTATATTAAGAAGGCTTGGAAAATGAAGTTATAAGGGATAGCCCGATTTATAGAGAAAATATTATTTTTTTAATCTTTTTGATTAGTTTGGAAGAGAAGAGAAACAAAAACATCATCACATTAATGTCAAATTTATATAGTCTCGATTATTAGAGATATTATCAATATCTTGTATATATTTGATATCTTATATTTGATATCTCCTTAAGCTAGAGAAGTTGTTGTACATACTCGTGTATATATATTGATCGAAAGCAATAAATACAAGTAAGCCTTTCAAATATCTTATATGGTATTAGAGAAAAACCTAGTCTAACGACTCAACCCTAATTCGCCACTTGTTTTTTTTCCGACGACGATAACCTCTGTTATCGTCAACCCTAGTGGCGCCAACGCACTCCTTGTTTTACTTTTATTTGTTTTCTTCTCTCGAAGACATTTTTTTAGACATTACTCAACCCCTTTTTTGATGGC